GCGGCGGGGCTGGCCCGGTGTCCCCACAGCACCACGAGCTGACCTCGCTCTTCGAGTGCCCGGTCTGTTTTGACTATGTCCTGCCCCCCATCCTGCAGTGCCAGGCCGGGCACCTGGTGTGTAACCAATGCCGCCAGAAGTTGAGCTGCTGCCCGACGTGCAGGGGCGCCCTGACGCCCAGTATCAGGAACCTTGCTATGGAGAAGGTGGCCTCGGCAGTCCTGTTTCCCTGCAAGGTAAGGCCGGGTGCCACCTGCTCACCTCTGCCTGGCGATCTCCCAGAACTCCTGTGTCCTCCATCCCACTCGCCGGCGCTGAGAGGCAGGTGTCACCTCATTTATTTAAAATAAATGTTTACACTTTGTCCTCCTTTCTCCATACCCTACCTGCCCACTTTGGGAGTAGCTCTGGGCTGACGGTTGCTCGAGCACTGACCCCAGGCGAATTGGCACGCGATTGTTGTTAGAACACATCAAGCTCTCCCCATGCAGAGCCTGTGTGCTCTGCAGATGTGTACTCGGGTGGGCGCACAAATAAAACTTGGATGGAGAAGCAGACTATCTGTGAAGGTTTGAAATGGGAGGAAGTGGGCGAGCTACACGCACCCTTTACCAGCACTCAGTTTGGCAGGATTGGTACCGGATTTCTCCTGCACCCCGCACCTGTCATCTGGCTGCCCCTGACACGTGGGAACCCTCAGGAATATAGCTAAAAAGGGGGAGGGGACGACTACAGCCTGTTTTCTTTCATTCAGCAATAAGAAAATCCGTGCAAGCCAAGCCTTTCCCTCGTGTAGCCTTCTAAGTACTGGAGAGTTGTGTGTGTTTTTGCTAAGTGGGGTGAAAACAAAAGTTAATCAGAAATTTAACAGGAAAGGCACACAGGAGCTGTCGTTACAGTTCTTTAAGTATAAATACACTCATGCAGCTGAATTTAGAATCGGAGATGTCAGTGTGTGTCAAGAAGGTTATATATACATACATGTAGGCATGTTTGCTTTTGTTTTCCAAAAATGGCTTCTGCAGCTTGCTGTTTTAAATTCATATTATCACATATTTTTCTATGGCTGAAACATAGTTCTCCCTTGCTGTATTTTAAGTGGCTATATAGTGTTGCGTTGTGTGGTCATGTTATAACATCTATTTACCTACATCTGTCACTTAAAAATCATAAGGTGTAATTTCAGAGATATACCTGTCTGTATTACTTCATTACAACCTACAGCTATACCATAAAGTTCTTTTTCTAAACTTAGAAATGGAAATAATGTCATTAATACTTTTGAGTTTTTGTGTAAAAGTAACTGCTCTGCCTCTAGAGCCAGTTAGGCTGTCTTGCATTTCTCCTTGGTGCTGCTTATTTTTATAGGGCAAGAGCTTATTTTTAAATTAAAAATAATCCACCCGAGAATTGAAGCTTGGGACTCAAGTCAGTAAATGAGTGATTTAATTTGGTCTGTGCCCTACCACAGATAAGTTTAAAATAGCATATTCAAATAAGGGTTTGAATTCATGTTTGGACTGTGGTTTCTCTTTCAACCTTAACAAGTTACTCTATTTTCAACCACTCCTCATAATGCTTACAAATTTACCCAGTCTAATCAATAGTTGTTTCTCTTAATATATAGACAAACTATTTCTGTGATTTTCTTAGGATCATGAAGAAGGTGGTAGCCTAATGATCAAGAGAAGATTTGGTGATAGTGACACAAGAGTGGATATTTGATGTTGGAGATGTATTGTGGGGGCTGGGTTACAGGGGGTGTGTGCCACAGAATTTCTGGGGAGCCATCTTCGCAGCCCTTCACTTTCCCCCAAACCTTCAGTGGGCAGTAGAAGAAATGGCTTTAGGTGACTTACAGTTCACAAATGAGTATTTTATATCAGTCAATATTCCATAATTTATTTTCAAAAAGCAATCTTCTAAGAGAATTGTTTTGCTCCCAAGAGAAAGTGAAGGAAATAGTTATAACATGCTATCTGAACTGTGAAGTTTCACTTTCAGGATCTAGGATTCTGGTTCCTATTGACATATATGTTCTTTCCAACATCTAACATGCTAGTGAAGTCTTTTTTGAAGAGTAGTTCTCTTGGAAATCAGTTACTCACCTTTCTCTACACATCATTGATTTTCCACATCCCTATTCTATAAGAATGCAGTTGGGCAAAGCCAGCACTTTGCAAGCTGAAATTTAACAGGGTCAACCATTTCCCTACAGACCAGGAACCAAGCTTAGAGAGTAATTAAAGTGTCGTGTGTGTGTGTGTGTGTGTGTGTGTGTGTGGTGTGCGTGTTTGTGTGTGTATGTCTGTGTGTGAGAGAGAGAGAGATTAGAGAGAGAGATTTTATAATGCTGGAGTATCATGTCTTACCTTTGGCTGACCAATAATCCAAGCTATTGACAGGGGAGGTCAGCCACTTAGTTTGACAAACGAAACCTGAATGTATATAGAGTCCCAACAAGCAACTAAGATATGTTAGTTGGGGAGGATGAGAGCAGGAAGGAGTAGTAAGGTCTATGTCAACTTCAACAGAATAGATCTGTGTACCTAGCCCTGTGGCTTGCACTTGCTGCTGGAAAACAAAGGGACTGCCTTGTCACTATCCCTATCTGCTCTTAGAATCTCTCATGGGGTGGCTTATGTGAGAAAACCAACTTTGGGTGAAATACCAGAGCCCAGGTCTCAAGAGTTGCTGGAGTTGCCATTGTTTGTCTGAGAGCATTTCTGGGTCCTTAATTTCTTCTTGTGTTTATGAGGGGGTGGGACTGCTCAACTTCTAAGGCCCCATAGCGTCCAACATTCTGTGAAGTGAAGGGAGATTATGTGGAATGCTTATTGGGTTCCTTCTGTATGCCAGCTACTTACTTTGTGTGGGTCAGCTTTTATTAGTTTGCCTTTCTTCTTTTTCAGATGAGAAAACTCATGCCTATAGAGAGGTTAAGAGTTAAGTGACTTGTCAAGATCGCACAGCTAATAAGTGGACCAGCCCGTGAACCTTCATCCCAAAGGCACACATCCTTTGTACTACTCACTATGTAGGGATTTTGAATCTGAGCTTATCTCCAAGGCTCCAAATCATAACTCAAGGTTGACACCAGTAACAAAACCATCTGGTTGGATAAATGCACCAAGTGGGCCTCTGCTGGGAACATCTCCAAAAGACAACAGACATGCTCACTACAAAATTCATTGGCAAGAATTTTGTAGGGCATGGAGTAGGAATATTGGAGGCAAAATAATCTACAAGCCTAATATTTGGGGGCATTTCATTACATTTCTGCACTGTTCATGCTTCAGTTGGCCCCAAGATGGATGTGTTGCCAAATAGCTTCCTTACATAGGTTTGGGGCCACTTAATTAAAGGCTAGAATGCTGCCAGCACCTTTGATATAGGGCACCACATGCATTTCTAGCTCAGGTCTCCTTTTTAAAAAAGGATCTCTATCAGAGTATATCTCTTTTCCACATGTGGTATTTTTAGTCCATTCTATGTCTTGTTCCATGCCTGAGAAGTTTGACATCCTGTTCCGCTATCTCAGACCCACCACCTCAGTGGAGCGTGGGTGTAAGAGAAGTGAAGATGACACCTTTGTGCCCCCACTCAACATTTTTTTTTTTAATATCGGCCAAGTATTTCTCTCCACAACTGTGGAAAATGCTAAAACCACTGCAGCCCACTTACACCATGATACATTTTCTTTCCATTTTTCCTTTTTCTTCTCTAAGAATTTCTAGTAGCATGTCTTTAAATAATTATTGAACTGGAAAGCCTCGGTCAGCAAATCTTCCCTGCACTCGGATTGTGAGGTGGTGTTTTTGTTCCTTAAAAAAAAAAAAAAAAGAAAAGTTAGATAACCCAGTTGAAAGTTAAACGCTCCCAGTGTGGACTCATCCAGTTCAATGGAGACAAGTTCTAAATACCAGGAGAGCATCATCAGGCCTGTAGCCTTGGGGTTGGGAGACATCGGACAGTGGAGCCGCTGGGGAGCTGGGGAGCACATGCCTCTCCGAAGGCCAACTTCTGCTCTGCGCTGGGTGATTGGCAGGGTTGGC